CTTTGTAGAAGTAAAAGTAATTGGCAGTCAAAGAAAGGTAAAACATTTATCATAGGGATGTTAAAAAGCCTAAAAGCCAGATCAGTGAAAAATAAAAGAATTGATATTGTACATAATATGTACTAAAGCAATGGTAGCGCCTTATTTAGCCACATTTTGCAAGTTTGCAGTCAGTAATTTTATATTATGCTTCTGCTCATCACGTTACCAAAGTACAACACAAAAGGTAAAACGCGGTCTCATATAGCTGCCTAAGCCAAGTCTATGCTGAGCGATTTGCAGGGATCACGCTCAGATGAACAGTGCTGCTAAATGGTCTCTTTTACCAGTTGGCCTAATCTCTGCACTGTTTTCCCATGAAAGCCAGGCAAATTGAATTTTGAGGCATCTGCTGTCAGCCCTGAGCAGGATCGTGATCTTTGTTTTACTGCACGCAACAAAAGGTTTGGAAGGACTCATGAAAATGAAACTAACGAGCAAAAAGTGGTTAAAAGCAGTTTTACAGATGCATGACAAGCTCTAAGTCATGAGGCAGTCATTGCTTTTCTGTAGACACGATTGTTAGAGATGAACAAGCAGCAGCTGTGGACACTTTAAATACTGTCTTACGGCATTATCATTAGGCAAATGTTGCGATTTCCCAATACTAATGACAGCAGACTGCATTCACCACTCTTAACACTAAAATCTGAGCCATGAAACTCCAACAGATGTGTACTTATCTGTTTAAGCAAATGACAACTATAAAGAATACAATTGGGCCTTTTGTTACAGGATAAAATGTGGAAATAAGTCATGGGGTATTCATTATTTGTTGTCATTTCACATTGATACTGAATGCACAAAATAAAACTAAAGCAGATGATACTGTTTCAGTTTTGTTTTTAAAGCAAAGGTCAAAAGACGAGTTTGTTTACTGTCTTAGAGGTAAAGACTCAAGTAGGTTTGAGTTTTCCAGTACTGTGAGAATCTGACTCCAATCAAACGTCTGGATTTTCCATGCACTCCGCAAATTACTTTGCTTTATTAAATCACTGAAGTGTTTTCTGGCTTTATAGATTATGTCTTTTTCTTGCTCGTGTTTTTGAAACTAAAGTTTAACTCAAGTGGTTTTGTTTTTGGTTCTTTTTTGGAAGTGAATTATATCAATTCAGTGATGTATAATACACTGAAGGAAAGTTGCAGTGTCACTTACTCTGAAATTGCATTTCTGGTACTTTTTAGGTGTTTTCAGTGCTACTGTATGCAGGGGAAAAACGTATTTATTATAATGACCATGACAACTGATACCAGGTTGGCAGGAGATGCACATTAAGTACATCTAAGTTATAGAGCTAGTGATTTTGCTGATTTATTTCCTTTTGTTGTCAGGATTTCAGCATGTGTATCCTGCTGTCCTAAGCAGGGGTGAGCTTTCTTTTATTTACTTGTTTCACCAGGGGATGCCAATGTGGACAGTACGTTTCTTACTCTTCTATGACCCACTGTGTGCAGTACTGTTTGCATTATATTGTATATGAATATTGAACATTAATAAAGTGTAATATAAGATTTCCTCCTGGGCTGAAACAAACACGTGGACTTGCAAACCATAATTCCAGTTCGCTGTGATAATATTTTGGCAGTTCTGAAAAACAGACACAGGTTTGCGTCAGTCCAACCAAGGCAACTTGACCGGACTTAAGTAAACAAAAGAGAGATGGTCTTACAATTCAAAAACATGCTGAAATAATCACAAAACGTGATTAAGTATGCTCTCTAAGGAATATCAGTAAATACAAATACTTACACAACAATATTTTGAATCTAATGGTAGATACTGTATGTATCTATTATATTATGTGGTGTCCTTTTTTAAAAACAGTTCTGTTTATCTCACATGCTTAACGTCACCTTCTCTTCAGCTGCCAGCTTTGCCTTTTGTTTATTAATTAATTTTTTGTCCCGTGTTGTCCATTTGTGTTTTAGTGAAATGTTACAGCCCCGCCCTTCACATCTGTTTCATATGAAATTGATTATTAAGATATGATGGCTTTGAATGCATGCTTGAAATCGGTTTAGGCAGGCTGTAAACCTTCCTCGATAGTTTTGCCACTGACTCAGTCCGTCTCACTAAGCTCCAGCAGCAGGACCGTTACAAGTTGTGATTGAACAGAGATGATTGCTGAATGCTTTCCATCTGTCTTGAAGGGGAGAAATGTGACACAGTTGTAAAATACAATAGCGGTAATGTGGTCATTTCAGCTTTGTACTCTTTACCGCAGACTATACATTGGCTGATATTCCTCAGTATTTGAAAATTTCTAATATATGATTCAGACTCTCCGTCACTTTTCAAATCCATCCTTGATCTGACCTGTGTGACGGTAGATGAAGAAGCACCGAGACTGCATGCAAGCGCTGCTTTCCACATCTTTGTATCGAAGTGAATTGGCCGGTTACACTCGTGACAGATTAATACAACTTTAGCACATATTAAAAGGGTCGAGGACCCAGTTGGTAAATATTCTTAAAAGCTTTCTTTGATTACTCCTTGTTTGTTTATAGAGCTGGCTAAAGCTTCCTAACTGTGAATAGACATGAGAAGACAAAACTCAGCCCATTAGAGAGTCAGACATAAACATGATAATAGAGTCAACATGTGGCTCAGCGTTCTCCTCTGAAGCATCCTCTCTGCATCAGGGCCACATTCCTAAACACAACATAACGTGGCGTCAGTATGGATAGCCCACAGTCAGGACACACAGGGACTCGAACCAAAGCAGGGCAGTCATCATCAAATTCTGTCAGTTACCTGGATTAAACAAAACAAAGAGCTATCCAGGCTCTTTAGAAAATCTGCTAGCTAAGCCTTTTCTCTTTTCTTCCTCATAATAATCCCCCCTGATGGTTTGTTTGGGCTCAGTCAGAGCTGGAGGGAACCAAGGGGAAGGAGAAAGTGAGGAGGTAAAGTGGGGGTCTTTGATGATGACGAGATTAGATATAGCCCGGCAGACTGTCTCCTCTTGCCTTCCCTGCGAGCTCTGCCTCACACACACCTGCGGCAGCTACACGTTACACTCACACACACGCTCACGCGTACCTATGCATACACATATGTGGTGAGCCGCATGCACAAGGCCACCCCCTTCCTCATTGTTCAGGAATTACTTGCTCTTTAAGGTCTTACGTTACAAGAGCAATTGATCCCTCTGACCCCCTGCAAACCCTTGAGGTTGTGCTGGGAATCCAAGCTCCAATGTATACACACAGGAGGCAGCTCAACCCCCAGAGCAGCAGTCTTTGACACTCCCCAGCACCCCCACAACACACAACAGACACACACACACACACACACACACACACACACACACACACACACACACACACACACACACACACACACACACACACACACACACACAGACCTTCCACTGTGTTCCAGTGCTTTGGGCTTAGCACTGCCTGCTGGTGAAAAAGGTGTAGTACCACGAGTAGAGGTTTGTAGTCAGATAAACTTTGTACAAAGCTGAAACCGAGTGTTAATTGCAAGCAGGAAACAGTTTATAGTAAAGACAAGCCAAATCGTTCTTGGTGTGGAGGAGTTTATATTTTCTAATTTCAAGTCTAGATTACATAAATATCTCTGTGTTTCATTTAGGAACTTAGACATAACATTTCACTTTATTTGTTCCTCACAAAATCATACCAAAAGACTCTAAACCACAACGAACGAGTTGAAATGTTACAGCTACAACACAAAGCAACTTTTAATTAAAAAAACAAAAACCAAACAGTCCAATTTTTGCTGTAAGATCTTGTTTCCAAGCTTGTTTGCAGTTCAAAGCTATAAAAAACGTATAAAGGTTGTTACAATGATAACCAGTCTTATTCACTGACATGCTAGATTTTAATTATATGAAGGATTCTTTGCATGTGTTTGATTAACTTCAAAGAGCAGTCCGTGACTCTACGTATTACTTCATGTCATTAATATAATTCATCTAAATGGTTGCAATAAGACTGTGTTGCAAAGATGGCTGTGTCCAATTAATACCCTCCAAACAGCAAGCTGGAAGGATGGCTCATGAACCTCTACAGTGTGGGAATGTTTCAGAAACACGGTCAACAGTGTGGTGCATTGCAAATGGCTTATTATGCCAGTGCAGCTATTAACAAGACATCATCCTGTCCTCACTTAAGCATTATATACTACAACTGTCAAGGTACTGAGTGTATTCTGTTTGTAGTAGTTGCCTAAAAAGGGATTTTTACCTTTTTCCTCTCCATGCATCGTCTTAACATTGTCGTGGGCCATTTTATATTGTATTTTTTGTATTTGTTTTAACAGTGGTCATATTAACTGCGTTAGCTCCAGAGATGAGGTGAATTCAGAATGTGTTAAGGATTTTAAGTCAAGTGAAAGCACTGATTTGTCAGTTAAGGGAAGCGCCGACTGTTACATATGCAGATTAATGTAACAGTGTCACAGGAGTCCTTTTGAAGTTGTGCTTCAATATTATTCTGATCAGGCATCTGAAAAAAGGTCTGTTATTATTGTGATAACTGACAAACACCTGTGTTTTAATCATAGGTCTTTTGTTTGGTAGTCAAGATACTGTCAAATTTACCGAACAAGAGTGGTTGTAATAATATTAAAAACATTTTTAGATGTCATATTTAGACATTATAATCATGTCAAATGAAGAATATATTAAAATAATATACATTTATGATGTAACATTAAAGTTTGATTACAGATATAATACTGAATGAGTTGCATCATAAAATGTCACATGACACGATGATGCTCACCCAAACATTATTGCCGTCTGCTCCCATGCGATATTTTCTAGACTTTAAGTGTGTACAGTCATAATTATGGTTGGTCAGTGATTGATTGAGAATGCTGCAACAGTAAAACTAGAGATTTACTAGAGCCAATTTCAAACAGGCATGTTTGGAATAGGCTCTAAACTAGTAACTAATGCTGATCTGAATGACTTTAAACTATAAGTACGGTTCTGTTCTCCCTGAACCCTCCAAGCTCAACTGCACTGAACATCAATTAACTCCTGACCTCACAAATAATTGTATTATTAGCGGGGGTCAGCCTGCCTTGTCCTTGCCTGCGTTAGCATGCCCCCCACGGCAGTGTCGTACGTCACCCTCTAAACCAGAGAAGGACTTCTGGGTTTCTAACAAATTGCTCGGCTCTGTTTATCACAACACCTTCTTTATGCCCTGACAAACGAGTCATTTTTCAAACGTCAGCTCAAATAAAACACCGCTTTAAGTCACTGTGACGCTAGGAATGAATGTTTAGAGACATTATTAGACGACTGGTGCCAGGTTACTCTTTACAGCCAAAGCAATTTGATAATTGAGGCTGTTAGGGTGAAAAAGTGAAGGCTGAAGACAGCGTCGTTATGCTATCAAAATAATCCCCCATGCTCTGTGCTCGCTGTCACAGTCAAACTCATTGTGTCATTTTTCAGTCCTGCGCCTGTCTCAGTTCTGTCTTCTTGTGGATCCAACAGAGCCTGCTGTGTGTGCTTTCACACCCTCTTGTAGCCTGCCAGCAGAAGTCTGTGGACAGGGAAGCAATTTGGTCTTTTTTAATATTTGACTGAATTACACGAGCAAATATTGGATTGAACCAAGTTTCCTCTGGTTTCCCTTTGCACACACACACTCCTGGACTTTCTCTCTGTGATAAATAGCAACAGATCATAAATTTAAAGCTTATTGGAAATGGCTCTGTCAGTGCTCTGTATGCTCTGTAAGCCCTTGGTTTTATTTATGAGAGCTGTTTGACGGGCAAATTGCTGGTTTGATTTTTGTATGTCCTGGAGTTGATGAATTGTCATAAGTAAATATTGAGAATTCACAGAGATAGAAGGACACTGGTTTCCTGTCACTTCCAATAAATGTAAAGTTATGCATTTACTCTGGCTCTGTTGGATTGTAGCTGGGAGAAAATAGTTTCCTCATACATGTCTGAAAAAAAAAAGGGGAAAAAAACCAATGTTGACCAAAATTAACATATTTGAAGGTGCAACTGCGTATTTAAAGACTTGTTGACATGACGGTGATGGGGTCGAGTAATGCTACTTCTCACTTTATCTTGGCAGATCACGAACATCACCAAGCTCAAAGACTTTCTGCTACAGCACAGAAAAGATTATGTGAGCGCCGGAAGGTAAGCTTCTCCAAACAGTCACAGTAATCCACCACAATCAACAACAGCAACGGCAAAACCCTTCAAGGCTGCAGGGAAAGCTGATGAGGGCACAAACGCTTTAATTCTGACAAAATTCAGAGAAGGTCAGGAGTCAGGGTTATTTTCAGCGTGTGTGAGTGTCTGTGCGCGAGCTACAGGGGCTGCCTGCTGGCACAAGGTCAGCAGCGAGTCGGGTGGTCTGTAGAGGCAGACTCCAGTCTAATTGTCTGGAATAATTGAGCTGCAACGAAGTGTAGAGCAAATCACACCCAGGGACTAATCCAGGCCTTCCTCTCTCCAAGGCCCCTCTGCTGTGTGTGTGTGTGTGTGTGTGTGTGTGTGTGTGTGTGTGTGTGTGTGTGTGTGTGTGTGTGTGTGTGT